AAAAAAAGTGATTTTGTGTTGTGAAAAGCAAAGAAAATTCGAAATTTTGTATACAAAAAAAAATTTACAGATTTATTTGATTACTAGATTTATTTATTCGATAATTTTAACCAAAATTAGTTAAATTAGTTTAAATTAGTTAAAATTTTGTGTATATTTAATGTATAAGTAACATCCAATAATTAAAAGAATATATTTTAAGAATTAAAAGTAATTAATGAAATAATTTAAAAAATATAATATAATGATAAAAAATTTTTAAAAAATTATTTTTTCAAAATTCATCAATTTTTATTTTTTGAAGATTTTTTTAACCTTGTAAATATCTTTTATATATTTTTTTTAATAACATGTGCTTGCAAGAAATTTTTGAAAAATCATCTATTTGAATTACATAAATTAAAACAAAATGGATATATATAAATAAATTAAATTGGACGATATAAATAAATTCTGAAAAAATAATATTTTTTAAAATATCATTTTAAAAAATATGTCACTATTCTCACTTTGTCACTATATTATATTACAATATACATATTACAAAAAAACACTATATCTTTTAATTTAATTTTTTTCTAGTAAATATTCAATTCCAATAATATCCTATAAAAACCTTCTTTTTTAAATAAATCTCTTTTAACAATTTTATCAACAATTTTTTGCGAAATTATAAATAATTTTATCATTCGAATTAAATTCTCGAAAAGTTTTAAACTTTTTTCGAATCTTCAAACTGTCAAACTTCTCTTTTTAACAGGAAAGGAACTACGTAGCTGCACGATACATTACATTAGATAACATAATAAAATACTGTATTTTTCGTTTTATACAAAATACACGTAACTTCCTTCTATATAGCATGAACATAGTAAAAGCTTTGCCAGCGGCTAACTAAGATAAGTAAAGAAATAAGCGGCTGCATTTCGTTACTCGTGTCGCACGTGCAGTATAATAATGCCAAAGGTAGTTGGATAAAAGGAGAGAAAAAGATAGGTTGCATTTATGTAAATACATATACAAGCACTGCTAACTGTACCAGTATTATTAACATGGCTTTGCATGGCTTAATATTTAAATTAGCAATCTATAGTTGGAATTCGTTTCAACGATAGTGCACGCTTCCGTAGATTATTAATATAAGTGAACTTGGTCAATATGACAGGTGGTACGCTTGTAAATGAACTTCTATATGTTTCTACATGTTTCAAAGTGCACTTCATGCAATCTTTTCAGATCTGTTGGAAACGAGTCGTGCTTCCTTTTAATTAATTGATTCTGCTTAACGAGCAACTTGGATCTATTAGTCGAGTAATTTTTCTGAACGTAATGATTAATATGCTCGTTTGTTTCCGTTACATTGTATTCCTTTCTCAAGTTATTAACATTAAATTATTTCTTTTTTGTTTTTCGTTT